GAATTGTTTATATGGTTTTAAATTGCTACCTTTCTTATTGTTATATTTTTAATCCTTGCCCGACCAATGCTTATTGATTTTAGAGAGAGGGGACGTGGGGAGGGGGAGAGAGAGAAAGAGACATCAACCTGTTGCCTCCTGTTCACCCACCAACCGGGAACCGAACCTGCAACCCAGGTCTGTGCCCTGACCTGGAACCAAACCGCTACTTCTTGGTGTATGAGATGACACTCCAAGCAACTGAGCCACCTGGCCAGGGCTAAGTCATGACCTTTTAAATGGTCACAAAAGTCCCTACATACCAGCCTCCATTTTGCCACTTGGCACACAAAGCGTAAAATATGTTCTGTCTGGCTCTTTAAGAGAAAATTTGCTGACCCCTGATTAAAGAACCTTACTTGCAATGATTGGAAGAACTGTCTGATTATAGCAAAATCTGAATTTTAGAATAGTTTTAAAGAAACATATTTCATTTGTTATTGTTATTGTTGTTGTTGTTATCATTATCATTATTATTGTCAGTGTATATTTTATCCAGCAGTAGATGTCGTTAGTGTGACTGATTAGTACCTCGGTCTGGGTATGGCCTTGCCTCGGCTACAGAGTTTGGTTCTGACCATTCAGAGTGAAACGAGGTCCTTTGTCAATAACTGGGACACATGTGGGCTGCAGACGAGAAGCCTGGGAATGCCAAATCCATTTTGCTTTCTTCAGAACTCCAGCCTGATTGCAGATGGGACCAAAGGAAGGGCAGACCTGAGAGAATTACAGAGCGATGAGGCCAAAGCCCTCATCACACCATGCCTGAAACCCACCCTGGCTCTCACCTTTCGGGTCAGATGAGCCAATAAACTTCCCTTACTGTTTGTCAGTCAGAGGTAGGTTTTTGTTATTTGTAGATGAAACAACCTTAACAAATCAAATGGAGTTATTTTACCTCTAAGAAGAATTTCACAGAGTAGCTCTACGGAATAATTTCTGGAATTGTTTTATCCTTGGAACATCAAAATCATGGAAAAATATAATTATGGCCTTTAACAACATGGAACAGGAAACTGGGCAGAGGAGCAATTATCCTGGATGACAGCATCAAGATCTAAAACCGGCTGATAGGCAGGAACACTTTACCAAATATAACACTGAAATTCAATAAGAACGAGTTTAAGAAAACGATTAAGGATGAGCTGCTTGTGTAAGAAAAGACAAGACTTGGCCAACCCTGTGAAGTGACCACCAAAACCACTAATATAGTGTCAGGCTGTATTATTTCGACTCTCACCTCTTTGCTCCTCAGGCCACACCTTCAGCGCAGTGCTGGGTTCCAGACTGTAAAAGGAATCCAGACCAAGGGACACTCAGAGTGACTCAACGGGCTGGCAAGAATATGTAAAACCTTACCAAATGAGAAACATTTGAAGGAACGGAGAAGTTTGTTAATGACATCAATGACAGCAGCTGCGGTGACAGTAAACACTTAAGTCCTCGCCATGTGCCAGGCACTACGCTGAGCCATTTCACCTGATATCATTTCGCCCTCACAACAACCCTATGGGGAGAAGGGCCATTACTTGCCACCCCCTCATACACAGAGGAAACCAACGTTTAGGTACAAATCTTACCTGAGCTCATACAGCTAGTCAGTGGTAGACCCATGGGTGTTAGGTCATAGCTTTAAGTGGTGAACGTACCATCTTTCAAGGATTGTCAAGAAAGATGATTTGTCTCCTGTGGCTCCGGTTAGTAGAAACAAAACCAATGGGTAGAAGTTACAGGGAAATAGATTTCCATTGAGGACAAGGCCATCTAGTCTCCTCTTCCTTAGGAAAGAGGGGGTTCTTCTCTTTAAGATCATTGACTCAACACAAAATTTTTGGACAGTTCTTCCTCAGTCCTCATCTTCGTGGACCTGTTCATCATATTCATTTCCACAACAGTTTGGGCTACATGAGAGCATGTTTTATTTCTCTTCTTCCTTTGGAGTCTCTCTCCCCGTTCTGCCCTTTGCCCTCGTTCTGACGGGCTTGTTCCGCCAGCCCGGGGTTTGAGCCAGTCTTCTGGGGCTGCTGCTCCCTGGGCTGCTTTGGTCTCTGACAGAGCTCTTGTCCTGATTTCCACATCTCCTTTGCAGATGCTCCATTTTCCATCAGAAATCCAATGCGGCAAAACCCAAACTTACTTCACACCTCTAACTGTTCTACTGCCCACCCTCCCTGTTTTGGGTAGCAGTCCTACTCTCCTGTGCCTCCAGGTCTACCCTGTGTTTGTTTTGCCTGAAATCCATCACTAAATCCTACCGACTTTTCATGTATAGGGTCTCTTGTATTTTTTCTTTCTTGTCCAGTCCCATTCTCACCCTCGAAGGACCTTGTTAACCTCTCTCCAAGTCTCCTAAATACTCTTGCTACTGGATACTTCTAAATCTCATCACCTGCTTGTATAAGAGCCCGTGACAGCTCCTCACTGCCCATTACATCGGTTCCATGGACCCACCCGAAGTTTCAGGCAGCTGTTCCCAATACCTCCCAGCAGAAACCTTCTATGCCTATCTTGCTGGCCGGTGCAGTTCTCCCCTGCCCTGAGAAACAGGCTCCTCACGCCCTCTTCACCTTCACTCATGCTACTCTTCCCCTGAGAGGAGGTTTGTCATTTGCTGGTTCAGCTTTTATTCTTTTAAGGCCCACTTTGTGGTCCACGGCTTCCTTCTCGGCATCCCTCTAGTTCCTGCAACCCACTGAATTTCACCTTCTAGTACTTGTACAGAGACTCTATTGCCATTTTCCATTTTTAAAAAAGTCCCTTAGTTCCTCAGAGTAGACTTTACATTTCTTTAGGGCAACTCATTCGAATGTTATGTCTAGCACTGGACTGCTCAGACAGGTGTTTGTTGGCTCAGAATAAAGAGAGGAATAACAGTGACAACTTGTTACGTTATTCCTATGTACCAATCAGTGTACTACATAGAGGCATTGCAGTCATTTTAAGAGGAGGAAATCAAGGCCAGGGGGTTAAGTAACGTGCCTAAGGCCACCGAGCTGGGAAGCGTTGGGCCCTGAACTTAGACCTCGGTGGTTTGTGTGCAGAGCCTGCACATCCATTCGCTGTGCCATGATCGGCCCATTCCAGGCCTGTGCCGTTCTTGAGAATCAGTGTAGTCCAGCACCGCTGCGCTTGTGTATTGAGAAGGACCCACCCCCCCCTTGGGGGTACACAAATGTGGTATATAGGAAGGCAACCTCATCACTGGCCATGTCCTCAGTGACTTTGAAAGGCCATCAGCTGAAAACTACCTTGCTTGATCGCAGCAGTTGTTTGGGACAATGATGAAGAGGGCCTTGCCTCTCTTGTCCTCGCACGTTCTGGTTATTTCCAGGGGTGGTAAATATGGAAACCTCCAGCCTCACACCCTCCCAAGCTTGCGGCATTTTTCTCTCTTTGGAGGGTCGCTTTCTTTTTTTTCTATCTTCTCTGAGATCTGCTTCATTTACTTCAACTCTGAGAGTGTGGACAATAAGAATCTCACCCCCATTTCTTCGTGTGATTGTCTAGGAACACCTTGCTACCAGACCTATGTTTTTACCTGAATAAAAATGAAGTAATTTTTTCAGAGTATTAACTAAATCAGTGATGGCGAACCTATGACACGCGTGTCAGAGGTGACACGCAGACTCATTTTTTTTTGGTTGATTTTTCTTTGTTAAATGGCATTTAAATGTACAAAATAAATATCAAAAATATAAGTCTTTGTTTTACTATGGCTGCAAATATCAGAAAATTTCTCTATGTGACACGGCACCAGAGTTAAGTTAGGGTTTTTCAACATGCTGACACGCCGAGCTCAAAAGGTTTGCCATCACTGAACTAATTAGACATTTTGAAGAAGGTTAGCTTGATCTTTTCTCTCGTATGATAAGATCAAGTGTTAGAGAAAAAGGACCTATTTATGGAAAAAATATATTTGGAGAAGCTAAGCCTTGGGGCAGTAGGAAAGGTCAAGCAAGACCAGCACTGGACATTCATGGGCATCTCACGTCACAGGAAGCAGGAGCAACGGGCATACAGATGGATGTTCGTGGGTAACCCTGGCCCCATGTATGTACACTCCTTATGGCTTTCAGAGCAAATTTTATATTTGATGAATAAAATTTTGTTCCAAAATTTTCACTATTCTCTCAGTGTTTTGTGCTTTTTTTTGTTTGTCTTGGAATTTTACACAGATATTTCAAAGTAAGTACTTTTAAGTTTCAGCTCTACCTAAACAGAAATGATATCCTTCATAGACCATCTCTATATTAAACGTAACCTTAATTAAAAAAGAAATCGGTATACTAGTATAATCCTGCTATTGGCTAGCCATCACTCTTTTATTTGTAATATAAAATATTTTGTTATCTAGGATTGCCTAAATTTAGCTTCAGTTTTTTTAACATTTAAATTATGTTTAAAAATAAAACATTTTCAGAGAATATTCATTTAATTTTTAAAAAGGAAACAGGACACTGTGATGGGAAAGAGCAGTGAATTGGAAATGATAAGACTTGGGCTCTAGATCTGACCTTGCTCTGTAACCTTGGGAACATCTGATGAATTTGGGAACTTGTTTTGGAGGGGGGTCTTGAGGGAGGAGAGAGAGAGAGAGAGAGAGAGAGAGAGAGAGAGAGAGATATTGCTCCCAACTCATAAATGCTAGGCTTTTGTAATTCAAGCATAGAAGAGTTCTTTCTTATTCTCACAGTGACCTCTTGTGGTAAAATTCTTTTTTTATTTGCAAAGTCAACTTTGGGTTTATTTTTGTTGTTATTTCTAGTAACTATATTTCATATTGTTAAGCAAATATGGCTTGTTTTCAAAAGGTGAATCTTGGTTGGAAATTAGAGGTCGATTAAACTGGGATCTGGTCACCCTGTGGCTTCCTCAGAAACTACATGGCCGACTCCCGACACCTACCGAAGAGACATGCTCTGGTGTGCGCTGAGTGCTGTGTGTGTTCCTCTTCCTCCTAGGGACCAGGGGAAGAGGCGCCCGAGGGCCTCCTCATGCCCCAACAGCTCGGACCTGAGCAGGCTGGGAGCCAGTGCAGGTGAGGTGCTTGTGTGCTTAGAGGTCCCCAACATTCCTTCACCTGCGCCAGAAAGAAGTGTCTGACGTTGGCTCACTGTTTGAAAACCCCAGGAACTTGGCTCAGCTTGGTCGCACAGCAACATTTATTTTTATAACTTTTTGTTATTTTCACAACAGTCTTTCTTCCCATTCTTCCAGCTCAAATACTATTATCTATAGGTTACACTCTTAATGAAATTATTTTGTAAAAACGTTTGGAAAGTTTCAAACCATGACATCAACATAGTTATTGAGTTCAAAACTTTGGTTCAAAATCGTTACTCACTTAAACGAAACTATCAACTACATGAAGACAGCTCTTCGGGTGTTTAACCTAGTTGAGAAAAATATGTGACAATATTAGTCACAGACTAGAAATGATACAAAATGTATCATGCCATGGAAAATCGCAATTAGAAAAATGAACTAGACTACATTTAAAATATTGAATGAAATGAGTATAAGCATAACAGGACATGAAAAATTGAGTTGCAAAAATAATGATATATGTTGTTTATGGATATAGATCCATGTTGTAAACCTGCTCAAACATGATAAAAATAAGCACCTGGTTTAGAATGGTGGTAACCCCCAGGGGGAGAGAGAGTAGGGAGAGCAGGTGCGGGGAGACATACAGAGGGCATCAACTATATTTGTAACATTTTGGTTCTTTAAAAGAAGGAGGAGGATGAAAATATGGTTAATATTTGACCAAAGCAGTCTGGGGTATGCAGGTGTTTGTTATATTCTTTGTACTTTTATTATATGCATGAAATTTTATGAAACCAAACTATTATTAAGGTCAAAAATGTTTTTATTATCTTCAAAACTAATTCCTTATCAGTAAAGTGACTTTTGTGGCCGATGAGAATTTCTGTAGTACTCAGGGAAATCTTAGATAGGCTCATCTCCACATCAGCATTGTTGCTGAGGCTTTTACATGTACATGCTAAAAACATCAGCCAATAAACACTGCGTCAAGTTTTTGTGTCCAGAGCTCAAAGTTGTGGTTTAGAACTATAACCACTGAGACAGCAAAATCTTCAAAAACATGCTGAAATTTCTGCTTGACTTACCCAATTTCCTGTTGAATCATAATTTTTTCTATTTAGCAAACTTAGGTAAAAGTGCTTTCTGAAATATTAGCTTGTTGCTCACGACTGAGACAGACTGTATTTTTTTGTGTGTGGCTCTTAAAAAATAATCATTACAAGCCCATGCTTCAGTTCCTTGTTAGTGTGTAGCATGGGATTTGTGTGGGGAGCAGAGCTAGAGGAGGTGGGCGAGGGGGGAGATGTGGAGAGCCTGGAGCTGGAGACAGCTGCTCACTCAGGGGTCCCTAGGAGGGAGTGGGAAGCAAACCCTTACACGACAGTGCCCAGCTAACTTCCATTCTGAGAGCAAACACACCCCAGAAACATTCAGACAGGCCTGTGAGGACCTTTCCTTTCTGAAGGTCAAACAGACTGTTCTGTGATTTCTGGCTCAGCCCTGTAATCCGACTCTTCCGGGGATGAATGTTACCAGTTCTGTTTGTCCTGAGAAAAGGGGGTGGACAGTCCTGGTTCTCACAGAGCCATTCTGTTACAGAGCATGTTGCATAGGCGGTAAACATGCTGATGTGAGCTCACTGGACTTGAGATTTGTGTGTCTAGTAAATTTAAGGGCATCATAAATGTTGGCTGATGCAATTATTTGTCTCACATCTTTTGGCTTTTGGCTTGATATATGTTGATTTTAGTCATATACTTTGGACTCTGAAGATGTCATGTCCCTGGGAATATGAACAGCTATGTTTTCTATACTGCTTGAATATTCAGGTTTACTTTTAGAATCCCTATTTGTAATTTATCAGAGTTATGGCAGACTCATGAGAGTCATGATCCCAAAGATGGTGACGGTGGCCTGTAATCTTTTATCTGCAGTTCTAAAATACCTAAAGCTCTGAAAGCTGACATATTTTGCAAACCCCTTTAGTGACAATGCCTGAGCTGTACTGATCCCAGGCCAGTGTAGTCTTGGTTCCACCAGTGTGAATAGTCACATATTTTGCTACCAGGGGGCTGCCCCAGAGGACCCTCCTGGGGGTGGTATGTAAAATGCAGTGTGTGCACCCTATTGCCTTACTAAAATGCAAAGTTTTCTGCATCCCAAACCACATCTGGTCCCAGAGGCTTTGGATAAGGGATTGTAAGCCTCTACTGATGAGCTGATTTTTTTCCATTTCAACTATGTGTTTTGTGTGAATTCTTGCTTACAGATGATGTGAAACCTTGCAATTAAAACTAGCGACAGCCCCTACACTGCTTAGTTACAGCTTGTGGACAACCCCTTTTGTCTACTTTTGCTGCTCACGTGCTCCACCTGCCCAGCGCGTGTCAGCCCCTCCTGGTATTAGGAAGGTTTAATAAAAGGTGAGCTTAGTCTCGCTGCAACTGGGAGTGACTGTTTGCAGCAGGGAGTGCACTGGGGCAAGGCCTGTGAGCTGGGCACATAGGTAACGGGTATAGCTTTCCTGCCTCTCGGCATCATCACCTCACTTAATAGGCATCACATATATTCTGTTCAAGAGTAATACAAGCATGTGAGGAGTTTTGAAAAATATAACAGAGCACATAAAAGACATTAATAACCCATAATCCCAGCACTTGAGATGACCATTGTCATCCCATTTTACAGAGGAAAAGCAAAGCGACTTGCCCAACGTGAACCTGCTCATAGGTGGCAGAGCTAGGACTCACACCCAGACAGTACCTCCAGAACCTGTGCTCCTCAAGGGCCTCCCCGATCAGCTTGTCCATTTTTTAGTTGAAACACCCTAAATTTATACAGGCCACACACCTTTCTTTTTAAATATATTTTTAAGTTGATTTCAGAGAGGAAGGGAGAAGGAGGGAGAGAGAGAAACATCAGTGATGCGAGAGAATCGTTGATCTGCTGCCTCCTGTACACCCCTCACGGGGGATGGAGCCCACAACCTGGGCATGTGCCCTAACTGGGAATCAAACCTCCTGGTTCCTGATTCATAGGTTGATGCTCAACCACTGAGCCACGCTGGCTGGACCAGCCCACACACCTTTCAATTCTCATTCTCATCCTCTCTCTCTCTCTGACATTTTTTAGGGTCCAGGCACCCACTATGTGGTCACTTAATTGGTATTAGGGAGGGCACAGATTTCCTGATCCAAACCAGATGTGGTGCCCCCTCCAGCTCAACTGTCAGTGTCTCAGATCTTGAGATAATTCCTTGTGAAATGTAATCATGATTTACAGTTTCTAATATGATTTGCATTTCCCCTCAAAGTTACCTTTTAGTTTGCTGATTTGCGGCAGGGCAGAATAGCATAGAGGTCAAGTACAAAGACTATGGATCTATTTGACACTGGGCAGGTAACTTAAGACGCCTGAACCCCACTTTCTTCATGTGGAAAATGGGGACAATTTGGGAACCTCCTCATCGCATTGTTACAGAAATTAAAGGTGGGCCTGCTGCACCCGACATATATGGCGAATGGTCGCTTCACTTCTCTGCAGGCTGCCTCTCCAGGCAGCATCCATCGTGATGTGCTGTATCATACAGCCTTATACACCTCAGACATGATGACCTGTTTGTTTTTTAATCAAGGGAAGAAATTGCTATTTATTGAGTGTTATGCTGGGCACTGGGCTCAGAGCTGTGCCTGCATCATGTCTTGTAACTCACACAAAACCCTGAAGGCAAATGATCTGATCTTTGCTTTGCTGGTGAGGCTTAGAAAGAAAGAGAAACTGGCCCCTGGTCACCCGATGCATCAATAATGAAGTTGAATTTCAATTGAGATTTGGCAGCACCCAAAGCCCACATTTTTCCCACCCCCACCCCTACCCCTAACCCCACCTCCTCCCCCCACCAAATTAACTTGGCCCCCAATGCTGTGGACATTTTATTTTATACTAGAGGCCCGATGCACGAAATTCATGCAAGGGGTTTGGCCCTTGCAGTCCTCGCAGCCCTGGCTTCGTCTGGAAGGTCATCTGAACAGTCATTCTGCTGTTTGGTCTAATTAGCATATTAGCTCTTTATTTTATAGGATAGGACAGAAAATCCCTGCAAGCCTCCCTGTTGTAAAACTTTCCATTAAATGTTTTCAAGATCTTTATTCTTTACCTAGCTATAGTTTTCTATTTATTCTGCTTTAGAGAGGGATACGTTTAAGTAAAAATAACTCAAAACTGTTTGCCTTACTGACAACAATTTCAACATTTACAAAGCTTAAGATTTTATGAAGTATCCCAATTGGAATTTTACCTGATCTTATTGGGGTTTCATTTGGGGTGATTTGATTAGAAGACATGTAGTTCTAAATAGTGTTCGTCGAGCTTTGGGGGCAAAATGTAATTTAATTCTA